AAATGTAAATATAAAGATAAATATATATATATATATATATATATATATATATATATATATATATATATATATATATATATATATATATATATATATTCTATATATTTATACATATATATATATATATATATATATATACATATATATATATATATATATATATATATATATATATATATATATATATATATATATATATATATTTATATATATATATATATATATATATATATATATATATATATATATATATATATATATATATATATATATATATATATATATATATAATGAATATGTATGCATCATATAAACATTATAATATAATGTATAAATCATGTATATATAAATAATTATACATCAAATTAAATGAAACAACACAGTAACAAGGTGTCAACATACGTAATAATCTTAATAATTATTTATACAACCCATGATGAAAAAATCATAAAATGGAATGAAACAACACAGGAACAACAAAATATATACAATTTATTTATCCATTTACCTATTTCTACAGCCAAGATATTACAAATCTTTGCATATATATATACATATATATATATATATATATATATATATATATATATATATATATATATATATATATATATATATATATATATATATATATATATATATATATATATATATATATATATATATATATACATATATATATATATATATATATATATATATATATATATATATATATATATATATATATATATATATATATATATATATATATATATATATATAAATTAATATGTATATATTAATTTATATATAACACAGACACACAAAAATATCAATACTATTCTATAAAACACAAAGTGAAAAGTCTAGGTGCAATTTTGATGTCTTTTGTTAAAATTCCCTTATTATACTTGTAACTTAGTTACTCTTTTTTTTAAATATTGTATCGATTATAGTTTATAGATCATAGAGTATAGAATATAGAAAATTAAAAAATATCTTTAAACGATAAATAACTAAACAAAATAATAGTCTTAAAATAATCAACCAAAACAAGTAGACATATTTATATAACCGAGTTTGCGCATAATATTGTATGCGCTAAGTTGATAGTATTAATTTTTTTACTTATTTTCAAGGTAATTAGGACGTCTTATGTAGGTCTTAGCGACGTCAATAGGACGTCTAAATATTCAAGTCCTGATATCGTCTTTATATTAACGTCACAAGGATGTCCTAACAAAGACGTCTTTACCAGACGTCTTTAGGACGTCCTAATTTGGTCTGAGACGTCGCGACCTAGTTAAGACGTCCGTAAGACGTTTGATTCACGTCTGTGCCCGCTGGGTCTTTGTTAGTGAAATTTTATTTTGGTGAAATTAGAATTATATCATTTGGTGAAATTAGAAATATATAATAAATATGATCAACATCATTGATGACCAACTATTTTTACAGTTAAAGAAGGTTAAACATCTTCATCAATATATAAAAATAAAAATAAAGAAGAAATAGCTATAATAATTAATAGCATGTATTAATGCTCATACATATTCGATAGAATTATTTTCTAATAAAACTTTTTAATTTTAAATTTCTAATAACAGAAATAACAATCACCTTACTAAAACAAGAATAAATACCATTTAAAACAGTGTATAGTCATGAAAAAATATTAAATTATTACTACAAATAAAGCACTTTTTTAAAATGAAAGGTAATTTACTTCACGAATATCTCTATAAACAAAATTTATAAATAATAAACAAGTGAAAAGCTTATTAAAAATATTAAATTTTTCATAAACAGATGGTAATAACTATTTGGTCAACTTAGTTGGCCTTTTTTATTAAATAATTACTTTAAACTTTTAGATTCCTTTAATTTATTTTTTGTTTAGTTATTTTAATTAACTAAATAAAACTTTATTCCTTTCGTATTAAGAGTCTAAAGTAATTTTATAATTGTAGATGGAAACCAGCTGTTTTGCGACGGAATGAATTCAAATCATTTAAATTAAATTAAATTAAAAACAGACCTACCCTCAATAACTGCTGCACTATTATAATATCTTATTTCAACATAGAGGTGATAAAGTTTGTTTTTGATACGGACTCTAAACATAATTATCCTGTTATTCCAAAGGCATCTTTTATTAAACAATCCTTATCTATAATTTATTATAATAACGGGTCATTATAGCCTGCTAAAGTAATTGCTGTTTTGCGACGGAATGAATTCAAATCATGTAAGATTTTTAAGGTCAAACAGACCTACCCTCAATAACTGCTGCACTATTATAATATCTTAATTCAACACAGAGGTGATAAAGTTTGTTTTTGATACGGACTTTAAACATAATTGTCCTGTTATTCCAAATGCATCTTTTATTAAATAATCCTTATCTATAGATTATTATAATAACGGGTCATTATAGCCTGCTAAAGTAATTGTTAAATTGTTTAAATACATAATAAATAAATTTATTATATTTTTTAGTTTAGCTATTTTTAAAAAGAGGTTGCCCTAACTAAACAACTACCCATTCTTATTTTATAAACTTATTATTCTTTTTTTTTTTAAAGTTTATAGTAAAGCTCTATTGGGTCTCTTTGTCTTACAATTTTAAATAGCATCATAACTTTTATTTCATTTTTTAAAAACTTATCTTAAGACAATGAAAAACTCGTGTAACCATTCATTCTTTCCATCAATTAATTATGCTAATTATGCTACTTTAATTACTGCATCCATTTAAAATTATTTAAATTAAATTATAATCATTTTTATATAATTGGGCAGGTTTTAGCTTCAAAATATTAGAGGGCTATGTATTTGGTAAACAGTTGATATTTTATTTCGCCGAGTTCCTTTAGAAAAAATTAGTTTATTATTTATACCAACTTAATTTAGATTTTTACAAAATCTACATTAAAATTTTCTTTTTAAATATTTTAATATATTCCTTATAAATTGAGAAGTTGTATTACCTTAATTAACTCATCAAATTAAGAAAAAAAATAATAAGAATAAGAATTAACTTGGTTTTATTAATGTTTATGTTATTAATCTTTTAAAATTCTCATAACATGTTATAAGAAATTACAAAAACTTATTCCTAATTGTTTATAAGGTTGATTGATGTTTGATTTAATATGTTTTTTACTCATTAAATAAACTTTGGGTTAAATAGCTGCTTTTATTTAAAAATAATAATAACTTATATGAATTTCAAGAACCAGCTCTTTCCTCAATTCGTTTTCTACTGCAAATTGCAAATTATCCAAAAAAATTTATCATTTATTGGTTCATTCTATAAATTATTCACAATTAAATCGTTAAGTTTCGGGAATAATTAACTTTGTAGATTATATAGCCTTATTGCTTGCTTATTTTTATTTTGAAGGCCCATTATACAAAAAGTAAATGACTTTCACTTTTTAATATAAATTATTTATTAATTTCCATCACAGCACTAGTTCTATAGATATAACCAATTATTAAGTTTGTAAGTTCAAATAAACAATTATAATACATTTCAATCGCCTTTACATTCATAACTTTATTTCATAATTACTAAGATGTTTCAGTTCATATTATGTTTATTCAATTATGAAAAGATTACAATAATGCTATTTGACATATTTATATAAATTGATCTATTTTTTTAATAAAATATTTAAATTTAAAACAAAGTGAAAAGAATGAAACCCTTAAATTTTAGTCATGAGCAAATTACTTTCCATTAGTTTACTCTTCTTCTTTTAGAGGATCAAATAAATAAAATTCTTCAAAATTTTTTGTTATAAAACACTTTTAATGAATTACTTTTGATAAATAACTCAACTCTTTAAAAAAAAAAAAAGAATGAATAAAACTTTTCGCTTTTCTTTTCTTCTAAAAGAGGATCACATTCCCCCCCCCCCCCACCAATGCTCAGCGCCAATGCACTTTCTGCCATTGCCGCCGAGAGGCGGGGTTGCAAGGAACAGTTTGTCCCGGGCGGCAGATATCCAAGAGACACCAAATAAAAATGTAGGCACTTAAAATATATATTATTATATATATATATATATATATATATATATATATATATATATATATATATATATATATATATATATATATATATATATATATATATATATATATATATATATATATATAATTCATATATAATATAGGGAAAATTTGATAAATAAGGGAGCAAATCAGAATTGCTGCCCTAGGCGGAGTGACAGCTCTTGGCAGCCCTACCAACTGCTGCAGATAGGGGGTATGTTTGTCAATCAAATTTAAAAAGCATTTTCTGATAATTGTGGTGACTTTTATGTTAAAACGAGGGTTGTACCAGATAATTTTGCGTGTATGGTTTTTCTTATGTGGTTCTTTTAAGTTAGCTTGGTAAGATAGATTATTTTTATAACCAGAGTTTCGAAGTGCTTTATTTCAAGTAGATACAGTTTTTTTAATCAATTCTTTGCTGCTAGAATTTCCGGACAATTTCAGTTCAACATTTAGAGGTAGTTGTTTTAGTATGCTAGGAGGGTGGTTAGATTCAGCATCTATGTAGTTTAAAGTACTATCAGGTGTGCAGTATGGTTGGAATGATTAAGAGTTACGTTGAGGAAGTTCCCAGTTTTGATAATGCATAGATAGATGTGCTAAGATTGTTATATTTGAATATATGCGTGAGAAGTTTTTTAATTTTCTCCATTTGCGGAGCGGTAGCATTTTTAAAAGCTGCTAATCCGTCATCGTGGTATAAACCAAAAGCTAAGATATTTTATAGAATAGATTAAACAAAATTATTTAATGAAAAAACTAAACCTTAAGATTTTTATTATAAGAGTATGAAAGAAACTTATTTAAATTTCGGCTTTGTGATTACCTAGGTGACAACTGCAACGAAACTGCTCTAAAACGCTCTCTCCTTCCTGTTCAACAGCTTTGCGAAATCCTCATATTCTATAATCTTGATATGTGGTCTGACTAATATACCATCCCTGACCTTAGCCATGACAACTTTAAAAAAAGATCTTAGAGGTATTAAAATGCTGCTGACTCCTTTTCAAAAGAAGTGAGAAATTGCTTATCGAGGCCTAACTTGAAGTACAGCGGTACATAAACACTTTATGAGGTTCTATCAACGGCTCCTACTTCACTTTGCTCTTCCCCACGGAAAACCCGTTCTGTTGTGGCTAGTCCTTGTGCAATAATGCGTTTGAGAGTCACGGCTGTTCCAGAAACAGAAGAAAAAAAGGAAATTTTGTGAAACCTCTTTGAAGACCGACAAGAAATGATGCAATTTTAAAGTCACCGATGACCTCTTATCCGTAATTGTTATACTTTAATGTACTCTGTATCATTTTGATACTGGTGCATTCCTCTTTGAAATATACAGAGTGAGCCATCCGGAGAGACAGGTAATTGTTTCCATTGTGAAGCAACACGGCTCTGGCAAGAACTGTCTATGAATAGGCACCATTTAATAGGATTACGTGATACATCTACAGCCTGGAATAGAACACCAAAATTCTTGCAGAAGCACAGCCCGTCACGCTTACTGAAGAAGTCCGAGAATCATTGATGTCGTTTTCTCTGATTTGAGATTTTTACGCGTTCATCAATCAAGATTCACTGTTTGACCCCGTTTTGCATATTATACTCCAATAATTGTTGCACTAGTAAAAATGGGTATTTTTACCAGTCCAACAATTTTAAGGGCTTAATATGCAAAAGTAGCAGTTGTATAAATGGTCTATTGACTCTTGCCTAATCGCAGGATAGCAAAATTTATGGATCGTTTTCTCCTCTGTACTAACTTGTAACATAATAATACATAAGAATTAATATAAGTTGAGGGCAGAAATTTTCAAAATATGGAACTAAATTGGAACGTATTTGCCTACGTTCGAGACGCTTATGTTTTTATACTTGTAATGCTACTTTTGAAACGTTCAAGAACGTTCTAGAAAGTTCTAAGAGTTTTTTGAACGTTCTAAGGTGTTAAGGAGAAATGTAGAAACATCTAGACAACTCTAGCAGTTCATGGATATCATAGGAGGAAGCTTGGAATTGAAAGCAAAATAAGAACTTTCTAAAAAACACGCAATGTTCAAAGTTTCATTGCCCCAATCAAAGTAGCAAAGTTTATCTGGAATAACAACAATTTCTTTTCGTTCTAGATCTAACGGAAAACACACTTTCAACACAGAAACAGAACAAAAGTAACAATTTGTTACATAGTATATAATTACTTTTAATTTTAATTTTCAGAATGGTATTTTTACTCTGAAATAACTTGATAAATTTTTATCCATATAAAGAAAACTTTTAAAGTATATTTTATTTTCAGAATCATCAAGAGAGATTTTTTTTAATTCTAAGTTTAGGCAAGAGTAGTTTTATTAGGTAGAAATTACATACAATAAATAAATTTTTTGCCATAACTTTTTCTTTTTTTTCTTTTATGCTTAGATCCTTATTTTCTAAATTTTTTTATGATTTTTTTTTGTTTAATTATTACTATTGTGTCTAATTTTTTCCTTAAAATTATTTATTTTTATTTTTTTTCAGACTTAACAAGTTTTCAGTTTTCCAAAAGGATTGTTCCTTCATATCTAAACAAAAATAAACCAAGCTTAATAGTATTGTCTCATGGTAAGACAGAATATTGTTTTTATTACTTTATTGATATTAACTAGCTAATCTGATACGAAAAAGTAAGGTTCTTTGTAAGTTTATTCCTTCAATACTTTTTCCTTATATATATATATATATATATATATATATATATATATATATATATATATATATATATATATATATATATATATATATATATATATATATATATATATATATATATATATATATATATATATATATATCCTAGCTTTCCGGACCGGGTCTTTACCGAACCTACCTTTTCTATACTTATCTATTCCACAACGATCATTTCTATACCTATTATTTGTTTACTTCAATATTTTTACGTAAATTAATTTATTTTGAAATATTGCTTTAATAGAAAAAAAAAATTTTTTCAGCACCTTTTTCCACATACACCTAGAGCTTATAAGAGATTTATAATTAGGTTTATTTTCCTCCTCAATGCATATATTTTCATTAGTGTCGATTTGGGGAAAAAAAGACATCCCATAATAAGTTTTAAATATTTTTCAATCTTGCTGTATTTACAGCAATATTTATTGCAGAATTTTTATTATATTATATATCTATAACAATTACAGTAGTATTTATAGCAAAGAAATAATAATACAGCAAAAACGTTTTCTAATAGTTAAAATAAAATTCAAAAGTTTTCTCATTTTTATAGATTTATTATATACAATTATTCCATATACTGCCTTCAAACTTAACATATGCTTAAGATGTTTACACTTACAGACGTTAGTACGCAACGCTATACAAATAGCAGAACTTAAAACATCTTAGGATATTAAAAACTATAGGCTCAAAAACGCTAAGGGATCGCCCATATATTACGCAACGCTAAACTTATTTTTAAAAAAGGAGAAGGAGATCTTCAGTTTTTTTTAGATGGTAATTCTCATTAAACTTGATAAGCTATTTTGATTTTTTATTTAGCATTCGACTCTGCGAGGGAAAATTTTATTCTTTTTTGTTTTGTTTATTAGTGAAGTTTACCGTTATGTAATTTATGAACGATCCCTTATTTAAAAGTTTAGACTAGGGATCAGCCAAAAAGTATATAAAGTCAAATTGTAATGGAGTATAATACTACTTTGATGATTATCTAAAGTATGTTGTTGTTGCGCACTCGGTTTAGAATGTTTAAAGGGTGCATGCTAAAATAACTGTAAAACTCTAAATTTCTTTTATTGTATCAATATTAAATAACTTTAGTTTTAATTATTTTCAAAAGTATTTAATTTAATAAAATGGTTAAATTTAAGTATAAAATTAGATTTTTCAATTATGTTCTTGCATAAAAGATACTTTTTAGACCCCCTTACTATTTTAAAAAAGTTGAGGTCGTTACTTGGCCAGTTCAAATCATCAGCTTGCTTTATTTTTTAACTTTTGTTATTTAAAATGCAAAACAAAACAACTTTACAGTTCTATAGACTTTATATTCTTTATATAAACATGTTGTATACTCATTTTTCTTGCAATAACTCAACTTAGTTGTAAAAAGCTTGAAATGTTAAAATGAAAACTAAAATAACATAAGTATCTCAATCATGACACATACGCAATAAATATCCCTCCGTTATTTAATGTTTTTAGAATTTTTAGGTTTTATAAAAATTCATTAGTTTATTAAAGTGTATAATATCGTTAGATATGTTTGTATATTATCTTTATAAAACTTAGCAAGTATTTTGCATATTAAAAATCTAAAAAAATTTAAAAAAAGAGGTCGCCGGTGGTTGGACTCGAACTACAGTTTTTTTGTTAGGAAGCTCAGCGCGCTAACCACTCATCCATGCTGGCATTCAGTGCTGGATCAAGGGGGGCTAGAGGGGACTATAACCCCGGGCCCCGCAAATTTAGGGCTACCAAAAATTTGAGAGGAACTTTTTTTTTTTTAAAGTTATTTTTAGGGTCTGAATAGAAAAATAGCCCCGGGCCCAAAGAAGTCTTAATCCGCCATTGCTGGCATGATGACGAATGAAATTTTAAAACTATATAAACATTTTTTCTAACGAAAATTAATGCTGCAGATCAAAAATAAAGAAGATGTTGACGTAATTCAGTTTTCAAGCGAAAGTAAAACTGTAAAACTTGATATATGTGTTAGTATGTTTTAACAGTACATAAATTTAAGTTTACGTACGTAGAAAAAACAGGCTTGAAAGGGCACTACTACTACTACTACTACTACTACTACTACTACTACTACTACTACTATTAAGTTCAGTATTATTATGTAGATTAAAAATTCCTTTTTTTCTAATTGATTACAATAATGCCTTTTTTTTGAAGATGACATCATGTATGCAGTTCTTGATATTTATCTTAATCAAAACGGAATTCTACCTACCTCAGAAGAAGTTCTACTTTGTGATGAATCTGTTCCAATAGAAGAGGTGAAAAAAGCACATATATTAGATGAAAACATTTTTTATTATTCGTTTAAACCTCATACATTAGAGTTATTTTATATTTTTAATTTTTTTTAAGAGTTTTTCTCTAAAAAGTCACATTTTGTATGTTTTAATAAAAAACATACGTTTCAGTATAAAGTATGTTTCAAAAGAAACTAAGATTAGGCAAAGTATTTTTAGATTCTAAATAATTTTTGTAAGTAAAGATGATAAACAATTTTCTACTCATAATAATATATTATATTAGTATATGTAAAAAAATTGTTTAATTTATATTTAATTGCTTATACTATAATTTATAGTTAGATTTTTTTCAATAAAAAAATAGAAAAATGAAAAACTTTAATTTTAGAAAAAATTATGCATAAGTTTAGAATCAGTTAAGTGTTTTATAGGTAAATCCATAATTTATTAAGAATAACATACACAAATGACATACGCAAATTACATATGTCATTTGTGAATGCTATTTTTAATAAATTATGGATTTACTTAAAAAATACTAAACTGGTTCTAAGCTTTTGCAAGAGACTGTATAAAAAAAACATGCTTTTTTCTTTAATTGAATTTTAATGTTTTTGTATATTTTTTAATTAATTCTCTGATGTGTATTTGAAAATAATTCAACATTATGTCTAGGTTTAGCTTTTCTCTAAGCTATGATTAGGGTATTTTTGTAAAACAACAATTTTCTTAATTTTTTTTTTCAAACAAATTCATTACCAACAAGGCTGCAAGCAATCACTATAAATTTTGTAGTTATTAGAAAACAAAGATTAGAGTTAAAGAGCAAATAAGCAGTTGACAGTAGACTTAAAAAGTTGTAGAATGTATGAGTAAGGAAAACATAAAGATAAGAGTTTCAAAGCGGAGAGAGTTTCAAAGAATTAAATTGTGGTGAAAATATCTAGGCAAATAAAAGAGCATAGAATAATTGATATAGTAAAGAATGTAACTTTGCTAAATATAGAATTAAGGGAGAATAAATTTGAATTAATGGCATCAGAGAAACAATTCCTTTGAGGAGCGATTATGATAATAATTGTAGGAAAGAGAAATTTGTAGAAAGATGTTACGATGATGAAAAAGAGGCTTAAATTTTGCTTATACAGCAGGTCCAACTAGGTTTTCAATTCGCTTTTTGACCTAGTCTGGAAAAGAAAGAGCCTCATAAAAAGAACCAGCCCAAATATGACAACAGTACTCCACACAATAACAGTTAAAAGATTTGTGGTAGAGAATGGAATCAGATGTTAACATTGCTATCCATTTTATACGTAGTTTCCATGTGGGGTCAGAAGTGAATGATAATCCAAGGCATAAAGAAAAGAAATCAATGAGAGGGTTATCATTTATTATTATTAGAATCTCTACAGTATTAAAACAGTTCTTTGCAGTAAATAACTGAATTTTGTTAGAGTTAAATGCCACTGTAAGCTCCAAGTTATTACAAAAGTAAGTTCAGTTTCAAGATCAGCTATCTTAAGAGATCAAAGAGTAAAAACGTTGTGAAGATAGGATTATAAAGTTGAGTCGTCAGCAAATAGAATCCTTTAAGATTTAAGATTATCAGTAAAATTATTAATGTATATAAGAAACAATTTATGACCAATAATAGAACCTTAAGGTACCCAAAAAATTACTGGAAATCAAGAATAGTATTGTCCCTCAAGGATGAATTTAATACTGCGGTAAAAAAAATGATTCGATAATCTTAAAAATTTAACCAGAATCACTATATAAAGCAAACTTATGGAGAAGACCAGCACACCAAACTTTGTCGAAAGCTTTAAGAACGTCGAAAGCAATAGCTCTTGTCTTGCTACCAACATCTAATGCACGATTGAATCTTTCATTCACATTTATCAAGTCAGTTATCAAGTCAGCCATAGAAAAAAAAGATTCAAACCCTTATTAATTGTCAGAGACTAGATTAATCAAAGACCTTGTTAATAGTAGGTTAATATAAAAAAGGATTGGACAATAGTTTAAGGGATCAAAGTTTTCTCTAGAGTTTTTAAAAGTTAGAACAATAGGTGCCGTATTCCGGCAGTCAAGAAAACAAGGTTCAGTCAGGCAATAGTTTAAAGAGAATTGATGAGAGTTTAAGAATACAACTTTGTAAGACTATGACAAGAATGTTGTCTGGACCAAATACTGAAGAAGAGTTTAATTGAGATATGACAAAAGAAACAGAAGTCTGAGTAATATGGATGTCTAACAATCGGTTAACCTGTTTAACTGGCGTAACAGGGAGAGTATGGCCATTAAATTCAAGAATCTAATCAGAAGAAAATTTCTTTGCAAGTAGTTCAGCTTTATCCTTGGGACAATTATAAGATCGAACCCATGATTCAAAGATGAAATATTTGACTTGCCTTTGTTAATGACACTAATGAAGATTTTCTCAAAGCAATTTTCTCAAAAAGTCTAACTTCTGAGATATGATATAAGAAAAAGTAAACTGGGAATAATGAAGTTTATCATCAGACAGCATCTTTTTACATCGGTTTCCTGCAATATGAAACAGTTTAATCTCAAGAGAGTTGTATTTTGAAAAAAGTTTAGCAGCTGCACAAAATCGTGAAAACTATGTAGTAGTACAAAATTTGACTTGAAACAAACGAGAAGGAATAAATGGCTCTATACCTGCTTGAATAAAGAAGGTTACGTAGGAGGAACATCTATCAGCAGAGAGAGAATAGACATCAGCTTAAGGACTACTAAGGGTTTAGGGTTGTAGTAAGTAGCGCAATCATAATGGGAATCCGAAGAAGTATAAGATGTAAGATTTATAGAAATTATTGCATGGTCGGAGTCTTCTAAAGAAGAAACTGAATACAAGTAAGGGTCAAAAACGTGACAAAAATCAAGAACTAAAAGTAAGTAATTATTGTTGTTTGGAAAACAAGTCACCAAGTTACCTATCTAAGTAAGTTATCCTGAGTTTTTTTATCTATTTAAGTGATTGAAATATAAAAAAAGTTATGCGTTTTAGTTCCAGCAAGCTCAGTGTTGTTAGAGCTAAGCCATTCAGTGTAATGATCATTAAAGTCACCAATAAAAATAATATTAGCTGACGAATAAGAAATGGACTAGACCAATTTGATCAGAAATTATATCTAAAAGTGAGTATTCTTGAGAAAAAGGAAAACAATAAAGAACAAATAGAAATTGAACAGATTGAAGCAATAAAAATTTTTAGTTTTTAGTTTTTTTATGTCTAAAACATTTAGGTGCTACAGATATGTTAAGTATAGAAGTTGACTCAATTTTAATGCATAAACTCTAAGCAATATTTTATGTTATTTGCTGTTAAAGTTAAAGCAATAATCTTAAATTTGATCTCCATAATTTAAAACTCGTCCAAGCAAGAAGCAACTGTTTAATTTACCTTGAAATATTAAATGCAATATTTGCATGTAAAATGCGGTGCCCAAGAATTGTCTTGGTCCCCGACCGGCATGCCAAAGTATGCCTTATAGGCGTCGCTCATTATACGACTTGTTTTCACGGAATACTTTTTTACATAAAATTTTAATTTTTTTATATCTAGTTCATTTCAATGAGTTGTAATTTACAAAATTTTTTTAAAAGTCGTGTACTGTAGGCAAATACGTTCCAATTTGATATTGTTACATATTTTAAAATTTCCTGCCCTGATTATTTGTCAAAAGATAAATTGAAACAGTTGAATGGTGGTGATTTTTTTTTATTAAACATTTTGCATTACTTTGGTCGTGGTTTAAGTTTAAAGAAAATTTGAATCATTTAAAGATAGAGCATGTTATTTCAAGCTATGAGCAAATCAGTAGGGCTTCTTATGAGGCTTTGACAATGCATACCAGAAGCACTAATAGGTTCACTATCTATTTACATCCTAGCACTATTATTACTTTGATATTTTACAGCTTTTGATAGAATTAAGGTCTCTGAGAGCTGCCACAGAGATCGGGAATTTTGTACCAGCCGAATGATTCAGCATTCATCATACTAGACAAGAAACTATTTAACACAAGTTTTCATTTATGCCAGCCTAATAGATGAAGAAGGATTGTGATGCAGAAGATTCCTTCTAAACTTTTTTCCAAAAGAGGCTCTCTATAGTGCGGATACTAGCTGGATGCAGTTAACATCTAAACAAAATGAGTATTTTTGCGAGATCTTTTGCTTCTACTCAAAAAACAATCTCTTGCTTTTACTCAAACAAGAGTTCCAAGCGGATCTTCAATGACATTACTTTAATGAAATACTGAAAATTATATAGAGCATAAGTTTAACAGATAGATTCACTTTTTGCAACCTGAGTTAAAAATACACCAGAGATTCACCAACATAAACAAACATTTATTACCATAGAGCAAATAAACAATTATCATATCTCATAAAAAAAGTTATCCATATGGTATAAAAGCACTAAACATTATGTTGGAACTTTTTTATTTAATTTTTTTTTTTTGTTTTTTTTTTTTTTGATAATTGAATTTTTTTAATCCTTATTAAATTTGGTGTACAACTATAAAATAAATTTTTATAATTTTTTAGATAGAATTATTAATAATGCGAGCTGTAGATAACAAAAATGGCTTGTATTGTTTGGTCATAAACGAAAACCTAAAATATGAAACAAGTGAAAAAGTTTATTTGTTCTTGCAAAAGACGATTCAAATAGGTCTGGGAAATAGCTGATTTCTTTTTTCACTTTTATTTTTGTAATTCTCTTATTATACTGTTTTGTTTTTTTTTTTTTGTTGCTGTTAACATTTTATAAATTTTTAGGTAACATGAGTCCACTTGCAATACTTTGTAGCAGTGAAAATCACCACAATTCGTATCTTATGACAGCTCTAGACAATTTTAAAGTAAAAATGTCAAGTTATTCTAGTAGAGATCAAATTTGTGAGAAACTTACACAATGCCTTCAATCAAAACTTTCAGATCAAAAGGCTGGAATTATTTTCAATGAAATGATGTAAATTTTTAAGTTTTAGTATTAGAACTTAATAAAAATTTTAAATTGAGTTAAAAAAACACCTGCTTGTCAATTTTATGCTGTTTTAGATACAAATCAATAGTGGTAAAGTCAAGGAAAGGTGGAATGGGGAAATCATTATTTGTAGAAAAATGTGGCTCGCGACTTTCTTCTCATTTGGATTCTAATTACCAAACAAATATGAGTAATAGTCAAAACAAGAACAGTGTTGTTATTGTACCTGTGCATGGGGCAGTGGTTAACACTGATGCAATAGTTGAAAGATTACTTCAATTTGAAGAAAAGCCTAACGCTTTTTTCCCTAGAATATATCATTTTGATATCACAACAATGGTAAAATTTATTTTCGTATTAAACTTTAGATATTTTGAAAAACACATCCACATCCGTCCAAGTCAGTTTATGTGAGCAAAGGTCTAGTCTTACTAGTCTTACTAGTTTGTATTTATTCTTCACAAAATACAAAATTTTACTAAGATCTAGTTAAATACATTATTTTTTACTTAGTTCTGTAAATACTTCAAAAATTTACATCATATATATTTTCATTATGGCAAACACCAAATTAAAACTGACTATTTTATAGAACGAAATTAAAATACTTTATAATTTTCACATTGATTGAATAATATTTATATAACATAATTTAATAGTAATTTTATATTTCTAAATAAATCCGAACAAAACAAAGTTCAACTCTACTTAGTTATGATGTAACATAAAGATGTAAATAATAGGGAAAAAAATTAAAAGTTTTTATATCAAAGTTTTTGCATTATAGTTCTTTTCAATATTTTGAAAAAATATTGAAGAGAACTATAATTTAAAGTTTGATTCTCCGTCATGAGAATCAAACTTTAGTACAAAATATGTAATACTTTTATGGATTGCAAAAAATTTAAACCTATTTTTTTGTGGTTGTTAAGCTATTTTGGTTGTTTTTGTTGTTGCTGGGAATTTGAAAACTTCAATAAACTTGAGAATTTTAGTTTCAAAGTATTTGAAGCAAAAATTTTTACAAAGAGCATGTTTCCATTTTAACTTCATGTGTTTTATCTGTAAAAGACAACAATTTATTTCTCAAACAATTATAAAGCTTTTTAATAAAAAAGTAAAAACCTCATTTAAAATCAACCTTATTGCATTATTACTAATATAAATACAAAAATTACAATTTATTTATTGTAAACAAAATTTATTGTTTAAAATTTCTTTTGCACCTAAAAAAATTAAAAAACAAATCTAAAAGTATTGAAATCATTTAATTAGTTTTTAATAACAAAAGAAAAACTATTCAAATAATTATCCTCAATTAGAATTTTTTCAGTAAGTTTTTTTAAGTTCTCATGATAGGTAACATTCCTATTGACAAAGAAGAGAAACAAATTTTACCAAATCATGCCTTTAATCACTTTTTGTTTTGAAATTTGGCCCTGGACACTGTCATACATTGTTGTATTTTTTAAAGAGGAATAAATTTAGAATTGATATGTTAATAAAATCACATAATTTCTTTTAGCAAAATAATTATAGTTTCTGTGGTCCACAGGGGCCTTTAAAAACAGGACGTTTTAGATTTTGAAAGTTCGGCCGAAAATGCAGGGATATAATTCTTTTTATTACTATTATTATTTTTATTATTGTTATTAATATTATTATTGTTATTATTATTATTGCTATTATTGCTGTTATTATTAATATTATCATTACTATTTTACACAAAATTATAAAAACAAATTATCAATTGTTTGAAAGTTATAGCTTTAAGAAGGCTTTAGAGTTAAGACTTTTACCCATAACGCGACTGACATAATATTGAATACATCATTTGGATACAAGTGTCATGAATATACCATTTGTAAAATACAAACCCATGTCATATAAATAATATATAATGTATAGTATAACTAAAATACTGTTTATTAATGAGTTTAATATATTTTATGAAAATAAAATAAAAAAGTTACATTTAAGTAATGTTAAACTATATTTTCTCAGGAATATTTGCAATATTAATTAAATGTTTTCCATTAAAAATGAGTACAAATTCATTTAAATACTCAGCAAAGGAGTCGTTATTTTTTGAAACTTTGAATCTGTTTCAAGATTTATTAAGAAAGCAGTGACAAATTTCTTCTCTTACTGCACAAAAATTATTAAGTGGTCGCTGGTGTCTATGTGTGTCAATAGAGGGTTATTAGCATTACAAAAATCTTTATCATTACTTTCAATTGATACTGATTCAGAGTATTTTTGGTACTGCCGCTTAAAATGTCCAAAAGTTTTAAGCTTCTCTTCTTCAAATGGTTCCATTCATTTCTATTTGCATATATGGCAAAGCTGTGTAACCATAGCACATCAAGATAAGCCATACATTAATTAACAAAATTTAAGATCAGCTACATAGGACTGTTTTACTTTAAATATATTAAAACTGTTCATTAATATAGAAACATTGTAGTGACTTTCAGGAATATTAGGAACTAAAGCTATTATAGGAGAAGTTTTTTTCAGAACCTACTTTATATTGTGGATTCTGAGGTTCTGCATAAGTATTCCTTGCTGTTTTGTCTTAGTGATAATTTTTCTCAACTTCTAAACCTTCGATCTCATAATCTGAGAGTAGCTCTAAAATATAAAAAATATAACTTTCACAACATCTTGTTTTAATTTCAACTGAATCAAGCGCACTAAAATATATTTGGAACACTCCAAATATATTTCAGTGCCCTTTATTTATGTATGTATGTATGCATGTATGTATGTATGTATGTATGTATGTATGTATGTATGTATGTATGTATGTATGTAAGTATCTCATGTTTGGTTGCATGAAAGTTTTTCCTTTGAATGATGTTCTATTTAAAAAAAACGTTTGCCTGTAATTGCGATTACCTATATTACTTAAAAAGAGTAATAAATAGCATACTTTAAAACATCATTTTTATCTTAGTTCTGTAACAAGATGTATTAGTTTCTTGTTGGAAAAAGTAGGTTTTGATTGAATCCTTATTAAATCAGTCAATGTGATCTAACTGGGTTTATTTTTTAAAGATTCTACTGATATTTGCAAAAATTTTGTACTTGTAGCAAGTGTAATTCTTTTTAATCCTTGATCATATACTTTTTCTGAAATAATTTGAGAAGCTATTGATTTTTTAAACTTAGCTAGTATTTTTACAATTAACTTTTATTTTCACACTTGAGTTTCTTTCCATTTTCTAATGTTTAAAAGCCTAAAATTTTTCATTGGGGTAAACGCAACTTAGAAAAACTACTACTTTTTCTTGTTTGGATGACAAATTGCAGAATTTCTGGTTGGAGCTGTAAGAGTTGTAACAACGTTTTTAGACCAATCTACCATTAAATCTAGAAAGTAGTTTTTTTGACGTATACTGTTTTTATATTTATCATATATACCCTATAACACTTTTAAGTTTTCTTGCGTAACGAAACTAGGTTACAATACGTGTGAAATGTCCGTTATTCATAGGTGACGAGACTTAACACTTTTACGTAACAAGACATAATGTTACAAAACTGTTACGTATCAAGTTTACGTAACGAGACGTAACATACGCACTTTTACGCAACGCGACGTAACATTTTTATGTATCGTTAAGTATAGAATGTTTGTTGTTTTAGGTAACAAAAAGTAACATTTTTAACCCTACGAGAAGTAATATTGTAACATGGGATTTCCTAATATTTGATAGTTTTTTTATTTTTATATATATAAATATCTTCATATATAAGTATATGAAGGTGTATATATATATAGGTGGTATATGAAGGTGTATATATATATATATATATATATATATATATATATATATATATATATATATATATATATATATATATATATATATATATATATATACATATATATATATATGTATATATATATATATATATATATATATATATATATATATATATATATATATATATATATATATATATATATATGTATATATATATATATATATATATATATATATATATGTATATATATATGTATATATATATGTATATATATATGTATATATATATGTATATATATATATATATATATATATATATATATATATATATATATATATATATATATATATATATATACAAATAGTATTGCGTACTATGGTAAGCAATCTGACGTCATTCTGAAATAGCCTGCTGCTGGGGGCTTCAGTACATACATCGACTGACAAATAGCCTGACTCGCAGTAAAGTGCTGCTACATCGACTGAGGGTTTGGGATGGGGAAGCAATCGTTTTATTTATCATTCTTCGTTTTTTTCTTCTTCTTTATCGAAAAAAAGAGAATAGCTTAAGGTATGCACAAAAAGTGAGCAAATGCTTATCAAAACACGCTTTAGTAAGTGTATATATATATATATATATATATATATATATATATATAGGTATATATATATATGTATATATATATATATATATGTATATATATATATATATATGTATATATATATATATATATATATATATATATATATATATATATATATATATATATATATATATATATATATATATATATATATATATATATATATATATATATATATATATATATATATATATATAAGTTGAGACCAATTAAAATAAACAGGTATTTACAAAAATGTTTTGGAATAAAGTTTAATCCATATTTTTGAAGAATGCTTAAATTTCAACTCTGAAAAATTTCTTTAAAATGGTTTTTATTTTTTTTAATGTTAGTTTTTTTTGTATTACAACTTGTTAAAAAATTACACAAAGGAACCTTTAGATACACATTGAAAAAAAGTGAAAAGATTACAATTAGCAAACAAAAATAACAAAATAAATAGTAATGTTTGTAAAAACAAAATTTAAATTTTAGAAAGATATTCAAACACACAACTATTGTTAAAAGTTTACCAAATATGGAGTAATATAAACTAATTAATATACTAGTGCCAATAAATAAAGCATAACTTCATCAAATAATTTGAAATTTTGATTGAATTGTTTATTTTACTTTGAATCTAAATAAAAATGTTCATAAAATTGTTTATAATAATTCTTGCTTTTTTCAATTCCTTTGGCTTGTCTGGTCTCTTTATTTGTAAACTCTCACACACTTGAAAATATTGAAATATAAATAGCAGCTTGTTTCTGAAAAAGCAAATCTTTTTATAGACAAGAAATCAATCTTGAAAGTTAATTAACTCCATAATTCCACACTTCTGAAATAAAACAACATCGCTAATGCTACAATTATAAAAAACTTGATTCATGATTTTGCTTTTTTAAAGATAACAATAAAGACTTCGTTTAAACCTTAACAC